CTTTTTGTCATCAGTATTCGTCTCGACAAATTAAAGTGTTTTCCTTAATGTCTGTCGTATGTAATTCATCAGACTTGGCAAATGACAGAAGCTGTTTTCACGCAATATTATGATTCTGATGCTTATTGCTTTATTTTGCAAGAGAATGATTGAGTAATATTTCATTTGAGGCGAAATGTTGAAAATGAAGTTTGCAAGGAAACAAATGACTTATATATGGTCTGAAATCGCATATTAGAGGAAAAATACTAGATCGTGTAATAGGAAACTAGTATTTTAAGGACATTTCTTACTTTTATCATCGCCCAAATTCTTGTTTTTCGTCTTTTTCGTTTCCTCAATTTCACTGAAACGTATTTCTTTCTTTTGATACGTAGAGCACCCATTTAAGGCCTGGTAAAATAGCGCTTTGTAACAGCTGTTATCTCTGTCACACTGTTGGGTGCAAGCTAGCTCAGATTCAGCGTGGAACTTTCCGATGCCGCGTGAGTCTTCATTCGGATCTTTCAGGAACGGAAATGTGAAATAAGAAGATAACGCTCCTGTAGATTGCAACGCCAGGCATAACTGAGCAGAATAATGGTAATACGGATTGTCTTGGACATGCTTTACGACCTTTATCGCTTTGCAGACATTTTTCCCGATTCACAGACGCTCTCGTTTACGCGGTAATGGGTGGATATAAGCGATATTGTATTAAAGTTGTAGACGGTCTCAATTTCAAGCCTTTGATGTGATTGGCTCAAAGACAAAAAAGGTGCCTTGGATCCCATTTTGTTCATTACTCAATGAGGGCGACTTTTCCTGTCAGTAAAGGGCCATTGTGTTTATATAATATACAAAATAATACGTGATCGCTTGTAGAAATGGAATATCTCTTCTCGAGTTGAGCACTCGAAGAAAACTGACTTCATATCTACGCGTGCCCGTGTATTCTCTATATATTGCTTTATGTGCCTGTCTGGTTTGTTTTTATTTATGGTAATGAAGGAGACGCTAGATGCTAGGGAAAATTTGCACAAAATTACCGATGATATTGTGGACAACCTTGTGTTAAGATCAACTTTAATTGTGATGAACTTTCTGCTGTAAATATTAGCTCTCCTAGATGCAGCTCGTCGCTTCTATGGTTTGGGTGTTTGATA